GCCTGAGACACTTTAGGGGAAGGACATCCTGAAAAGGGTGTCCTAACTCTTAAAATTACAATTTCTTACTCTGCAATTACAGATGATCCTGGGGGAAGGGGATGTGTTTGCTGCAGGGGGAGATATTCAATTTGGTTTAAGGAAAACCCAGCCAGCCACCTTGCCTGGAGAATCCCATGGACAGAGGAGCCTGGAGAGCTACAGTCTATATGGTAGCGCAGGGTCAGACACAACTGAAGGGACTTAGCATGCACACATAGACACACCCAGCCACACCTACTAGGTGCTGGGCTTTTGTCAAGTGATAAAAACTTGGAGTGTTCAGAGCCTTGAGGGCAGACAGACGTGGGCATGGCAAAGGGCCAGGGTAACTGATGAACGGAAACGTTTGGATGCACAGAGCAAAGAGGGAGTGTATAGTGATGCTGCCGTGTGACCTTGAACTTACCTTCTGCACCTTCCCGTGCTCATCTGTGAAACAGAGATGGGAGCAGTGATTTCCTTCTAGGGTTCTGTGAGGACTTAATGGGGTGATGCAGCTAGATGTTAATTGAGATCAGTGATACTAATGAGACAGCCAGAGGATTGAGCCAGGAGTGCTCTGTCCAGCTTCCAGACAGAAGCTAGAAGGATGGATCCAGAATCCAGGATGGAGATGAGAGGGAGCATGGTTAGGATCTGTGTCAGGCAGCCTGCTCCCAGGGACTCCTAGGAGATCCTGGCGAGGGTAATTCAGGAAGGCATGTTGGACTCACACAGAACAGGAGAAAGGCAGACACCAGCTGTCATGGAATGCCTTTCAGTGCCAGCAGAGAGCTGAGAACTTTACATGGGTTTGGCCCTCCCAGCAGCCCCATGGGTGGGTACCATCATCCCCATTTTACAGATGAAGAAACTGAGGCTCAGAGAGGTTAAAATGTTTTGACTAAAGTCACACAGGGAAAAGTTATGGAGACAGGAGGGAACACCAAGCTGCCCGGTTCAGCACCCCCACCTCCCCACACAGCTCCCCTCCCAGGGGGCCCTGTCTCCCCAGGGCGGGTGGGTGGAGCTCCCACAGACCAGCTTGCCCTGCCTCACAGGCTCAACAACACTCTATTGGCTGGTTCAGCGGTCATTCAGCAAACATTCACTGCTCACCTTTAGTGGGTGCGGGGACTTGGGCTCACAGAGGTGGCCCTGGGGAAGGTGCACCTGGAAGTACATGAAGTGTGTCTGAGACTGGAAAGGAGGAGGGGGCTTTGGGAGGAAGGGATGCCCAAGATAAATCCTTCCAAATTAGCATGTGTTTGCCAGCCAAAGGTTGGGAGTGGGGCGAATGGCCTTCTAGGTTGTGGGGACAGCGTGTGGAAAGCATAGGTGGTTTACGTGGAAAATGGGGAAGAGGTTGTGTGGGTTGGCAGCAAGTGATGTGGCCCCGAGTCTTTCACGAGTCTTTGTCTAACTTTGGAGCTTCTGGATTGGGGGAGGGGCCAGGGCAGGCAGATTGTCACCGAGAGGGCATGACCACTAGAGGGGAAGTCACAGGTAACTCTACCGTGGCCAGAGCTTCGGAGCCGCCCCACAGCGCCCACCATCCGTGACCCCAGAGCCTGCTGCATCCAGGCTTTGCAGCCCCAGTGCGGGAAGCAGAAGCATCCATCTGGGGTCCCCAGCCCTGCTCCTACCGAGGAGGGGCATGAGTGAGATTCAGACTTGCCCAGGGTCCCAGAGCTGGGACGGAGGGAGAGCAGGTCCAGGGCTCCAAACCCATGGCCCTTGTTGCTTTTGGGGCCCCTCATGCCTCTGGGGCAGGAGGGGAAGGGAGGCGGGGAGGCCCGGAGCTTTTCAGCCCTAGCCATTCTGCGTCTCCAGTCAATATTTGCAGCTTCCAGGCAGTGTTCACAGAGCCTCTTCCCCAGCACCCCCATCACTCCCTTTGTGCTCACAGCTTTAACCTGACAACTCTGCATTTTCACACTGAGAAACCAGAAGCATTGTTGAGTCCATTATACAGATAAGCGAGCTTAGAGGGAGGAAATTACTCACTTAGAAGCCAGCAAGAGGCTGAAACAGGCATTGAACCTTAGTCTATCTGATTCCATTGCCACCCGCCTCTAGTTGGGGCTGCTTCTCAATGGCTGGTTCCACGGATCCTGTGTGGTGGGAGGGATTCAGGGAGGGAGTAGGGGCTCACAGAAAGGAGGGGCTCCCGCTGGCGCCCCAGCCCCTCCCACACATGCCGTTTGTAGCTCTCACCCTGGCATGGTAGACAAAGGCAGCCCCATAATTGGGAGCAAGTATTTCATGCATCCCCCCCCGATGTTTTATTGGGTGGAGAGATGCTTGGAGACCAAACGGATGGCCCATTCCGTTTATAAAGTGTGCACGGTTTGTTTTATTTCCCGAGTTTTTGCAATCTAGATAACAGATGATGCCCCGAGTGGCTGGCGCTGCCTCTGTAATGGCGGCACCGAGCCTTTGGAGAAGTATTAATAATAGATTGTGTTGATGAGTTTGGAGAAAGTAGCAATCGACCCCCTGCTGCCAAGGCATTAGCGCGGCTGTTCTGAACGAAGCCTGCGTGGTGGCAGCGCCTGCAAATGCAGGTCACCCCCCCACCGCTGCCGCCACCCCCTTCCCCTAGACTCAGAGGGCTTCCTCTCTGGGAACCACCCAAGGGGTGCCAACCTGGCCTGGGGCCCCAGGTGGACCCAGAGATGCCCCTGCACTTATCCACCCGTGGGCCACAGAGGCCAGGCTGCAGCCCTTGTTGGGCCCCTAGGTCAGGAGGTAGAGTGTGGGGAGGGGGAGAGACAGGCAGTGAGAGGGGCACGGCAGAAGTGTTCCCCATGTCAGAGCAGCAGGTTCTGCAAACCTAGCTTCTTCCCTAGCCCCTTGGCAGAGCTAGAGGGCCAGCCCGGTTCCTAGGGGCCTCTGCTTAGGGTGCCAATGACAGTTGGGTGGGTTGCACCCTGAACAAAGGTCTCTAGCCAGAGGGCCAAACTGAAGCTGACTTTGGCTCATATTCCCCTGGTGAAGCCATGTGCTGTGTGGGCCAAGGGGTTCCTGCCTGCCTGAGCCAAGCCTTCACTTACAGGCTTTGCAGACACTGAGGCCTCCTGGTGGATCAGGCGGACCTCCATGGAACTGGGAGCTGACAGGGCTACGCGCCATCACTCTGATACGGGACTCATTCACTGAGTTACATGCTCAGTCCCACTGAGTCCTGACCACAGCCTTTGAGGAAAGTCCTGTTGACATCCCTGTTTCACAGCAGAGGGAACTGAGGCCGGAGGTGAGCACAGAGGAGGCCACCTCCCCCAGACTGGGGCATCAAAGAAGGCTTCCCAGAGGAGGTGGCGTTGGAGTTGGGCATTGCAGGATGAGTAGGAGCCTGCTGAGTAGACTAGAGGTGGCTGGCAGGAGTTGCTGGGGCGTCCCCAGTTTGAGCACCCTGGCCGGTGCCAGGGCAGCAGGCAGAACTGGGATTGGCCCTGCCCACTGTGTCCCACCCGCTCACCGTGGGTGGTGTGGATGGCAGCCCCGGGAAGGGAGGCAGGCCGAGAGCCTCGCATTTATGGCCGTTTCTGTTCCAGAACCGATTAGTAGAGAATTGCAGCTGTAATCTGTGCCTGTGATGGCGGGCCATAAAGAGGGATGGGATGCGCGCAGTGCTCCCAAGGTGGTGCCCGCAGACGTGGCCCGGGGACGCGGGGAATGAAAAATGGTTTTAATTCCCTCCCAGCAGCAATAATTTGATTCTTCATAAATTTTTCCATCAAAGTGTTGTTGAGGCTGAGTTCCCACAGAGCAGGGCACGTGACAGGGATGGGGAGCCAGGAGGAGTGGTCAGTAGGTGCAGGCCGGGGTGGGGCCATGCTCAGACCCACAACGCCAGAGTTGTGAAGACCCCCACCCCCACCCCTAGCATTGTCTCCCGAGATGAAAGATGGATCCTCTTTGTCACAGAGGGACCAGATCAGGACCCGGACACAGAACCGGCTCCATCATTTACTACTCATGTGATCCTGAACACATGCCTGCCTCCCAGCACCTCAGTTTTCTTATCTCTAAAATGGGATTAATATTTCCTGCCTCGTAGTGTTGTTGCAAGAATGAAATGCATTTCTATACACAGAGCACTTAGAAGAGCGACTGATAGCGCACACATGTTCTGTGACTATCTGTTCATGGGGGAGATTCCTAGGCTGAAATGAGAAATAAGCAGGTGTGGCCGAGGCAAGGGCCAGAGGAAGAGCATGCTAGAGGGCCACAGTGACGGTGCCCTGGAGGGCTTCAGGCTGTTCCGTGGGGCTGCAGCTTCTGGGAGTACAGGGTTTAAGAGGGGAGGCGGGACTGTGAAGGGCCTGAAGGCCAAACTCAGGAACTTGGAGTTTCTCCTGAGGGCACAAGGGAGCCAGGGATGAGTCTGGGGCAGGGAGGCAGTGTGATCACATGTGTGCTTTGGACAGACCCCTCTGGTTCTCATCCTGGAGGATGAGTCGAAGGGTTGTAGAGGCTGTGAACCAGGGAGGACACTGGGGCAGCCCCTCAGGCAGGAGGGGAGGGAGCCAGGCTGGGTGATGGGTTGGGCAAGGCTGGGGATCACTTGGATGTGGGGGAGAGGCAGGGCCAGGGAGGAGACACACAGATGCCGGAGGGAGGGCGGATGGGACCTGTGGGCTGCCGGTCCTTCTGCTCAGGGCAGGGCCCACCCGGCTCTCAGGGAAGGTGGAGGCTGGCCCTGCACTCTGCCCTCTAGTGGCCGCTGTGTCTCCGAGCGGGCAGGCTCTTGAGCTGACATCTCTGGGCAGGATGCCCAGTGCCCATCTTGGGGTCGTCGGGCGCCCTGCCAGCCAAGGGGTAGGGCTCCCACTGTCTGGCTCTGTGCCCAGAGAGGGCCTCTCCCACTTGGGCCAGGGGGGTCGGGTGGCGGGAGGAAGAGGTGCTCTGTGGGCAGTGCCTCTGGGAGGGACTCCTGAGCCCAGCCGACATGCCCCTCCTCTGTGCGCCCACAGGCTCTTCGCGGCCAAGTGCAGCGGCTGCATGGAGAAGATCGCCCCCACCGAGTTCGTGATGCGGGCGCTGGAGTGCGTGTACCACCTGGGCTGCTTCTGCTGCTGCGTGTGTGAGCGGCAGCTACGCAAGGGTGACGAGTTTGTGCTCAAGGAGGGCCAGCTGCTGTGCAAGGGCGACTACGAGAAGGAGAAGGATCTGCTCAGCTCCGTGAGCCCCGACGAGTCCGACTCCGGTGAGCGGCAGCTGGAGCCGGGGCGGGTGGTGGGTGGGGGGCTTGGCAAGCACGCCGCGGAGGGTTGCCCCACAGGAGAAACCCGCTCCTGACCCTGGGACCCGTACCCCAGACAGACACTGCATACATGCATGGAGGTGTTCACATGTGGGGTACACACAGACACGTGTGCATGGCCCCACAGACCCACAAACGCACCTGGACATGATCACGCACAGGTATAGATGCATGTGATCATACAGGCACACACACAAGCACATAAAACGTGTGTGTGGATACCCATGCCCAGGAATGTAAAAATACAGACGCATGTCCACGTGCAGACATGTGCTTGCATGCCCAAGCATGCCAAAGCCCACACCCATATAAACACACATGTGTACACATGCCCTAGCACACTCGTGCAGTAAACATCTGGCTACACATTTACCCATGTGCTCACATGTACTGTGGTTTGCACACACGTGAACACATGCCCCCTGCTCTCTGGCCCAGCACCCCCCTTCTTTCCCTTGCTGTGACCCCACCTCACAGGGGTCTCTCCCAGCACTGAGTCTGCAGGCATCTGCTCTGCTGCATCCTGTCTCCATCACACACCCCCAAGTCTTTAGCAGTGGGGGGACTGGGGTCCTTGGTGGTGGAGGGAAAGCCTCCATTTCCTGGGGTGAAGTCCCCTCTCCACCCTGCTCCAGCCCCCCAAAGACTGGCAGTCTGGAGCTCTCCTGGAAGGAAGGGCAGGGCCAACCAGGGACAAGTTAATAAGGAGGAAAAAGTCAGGAAGCAGGCTGGCACCTGGTCATTCCTGGGGATGGCAAAGACAGATTGGAGCAGGGGGAGTGGGGAGGAGGTGCCCTGGTCTGCCAGGCCCTTGTGGGGAACCTGGAGCCCATGGTCAGAGGACCTGCCTGACAAAGGAGCCATGTCCCTGCCAGAGCCCTTGGAGGGGGCAAGAGCTGCCCATGCCTCTGTCCCTCTGCCCGCCCCTGGGCAGGGCACCATGGTGGCTAGGCTGCCTGACCTCCTGAGGGAGAATGGGGGCCATCCAGGTGCCATTGGCACATTCCTGCCAGGCCTAGGAAGGAGTTCTCGGAGGGAGGCCCCCCTCCACAGGGACTCATGCTCGGAGGAATATGGGCTGGGGGCAGCAGGAGACATGTGGGGTGGGGGAGGCTCTGCTGTCTGCCTGGGGCCAGCATCTCTGAGACCCATAACTCGGGCATGCAAGTGGGTGTGGGTGTCACTGGGTGAAGATGCATGCTTCTGCATGCAGGTGTATGTGTGTGTCTAGACAAGTGCATGCCTGTATGTCCCTGCCTGCGAGCATGCACTTGCGTGCACGTGTGTGTGAGTGCATGCACACGTCAGGGTCACAAACACGCCCGAGTGAGAACGTCTGGAGTGTGTGAGTCTTTGCTCATCGGTCCTTAGTCCCTGGAAGCTCCTTGGAGCCTCCTCTCTGAGTCCCGAGGCCCAGCCGGTGCTGGGCTAGTACTGTGGGAACTGGTTTTCCCGAAGGCCGGCATGCTGGGCTGGGGTCCCCCAGGGACCAGAGGCCACAGGCTGAGGCGGGGCCCAGGCAGGTCGGGTCAGGGGAAGCCCGGGGCCAGACTGAATACAGCTGCCAGCATCCCTCATCAGGAGGCCCGTGGGCCTGATGGCAGGTCGGCCGCCTGTGAGCGTCAGCGTAGCTGTGTTCCCTTCCATGTGCCAGCCACACGTGTGCACCTGCGTGTTTCTGCAGTGCCCGAACCTGTCCCCGTGTGGTCCTCTCTCTGCCCTTCTGAACGCGTGTGCATCTGAGTGTGCGCGCCTGCTCACCAGGGTGCCTTCCTCTGCCTGTCTGGTCAGCAGGGCAGGTCTGGTGGCTTTGGTTCAGGTCTCCCCAGGGTGCTGAGATAAGGACCGAGGACCATTTGCTGAGGCAGGGAACACGCCGGGCCGGGTGGGGCAGTGGGTGATCAGGGATGAGAGATGAGACGAGGCGCGGCCCGTGGGCCAGGGGGAGGGGGCGGTCTTTACCCTGAGGGCCCAGGTGGGTCGGGCCGGGCCGGGTGTTGGCAGGAGGTGATGGGACCCCAGCAGGCCGTGGGTTCCCGAGGAGACGGACTGACCCGCTGCATCATGTCCCCACAGTGAAGAGCGAGGATGAAGACGGGGACATGAAGCCGGCCAAGGGGCAGGGCGGCCAGAGCAAGGGCAGCGGGGACGATGGGAAGGACCCACGGAGGCCCAAGCGGCCCCGGACCATCCTCACGACGCAGCAGCGAAGAGCCTTCAAGGCCTCCTTCGAGGTCTCCTCCAAGCCCTGCCGGAAGGTGAGGGGCGGCCGGGGTGGGGCGGGGGTTGACACCCCCACAACAGCTGCCTTTCCAGACTCCCGTGGGGACCTGGGGGTCCCTGCACCTCCCCACCCAGCGCCCCGGACCTGCCAGCTCTCAGCGCCTGCCCACCCCCTGGGCCTGACCCGTCTCCCTCTCTCTGGGCAGGTCCGAGAGACACTGGCGGCAGAGACGGGCCTCAGCGTGCGCGTGGTCCAGGTCTGGTTTCAGAACCAAAGAGCAAAGGTGAGGACTGGCCACCGGCCACCCTGCTGGGCAGGCAGAAGACTGGGGGCCTGATGAGGGTGGGGTGGGGCGGGAGTGCGTGGGGGCCGAGGCGGGGCTGGCACGCACCGTGTCTCCTGCAGATGAAGAAGTTGGCACGGCGGCACCAGCAGCAGCAGGAGCAGCAGAACTCCCAGCGGCTGGGCCAAGGTGAGCCAAGGGCCCAGCACGGGGCTCAGTCTGTCACGAGACTCCCAGGAAGTTTCTCCCACCCTGGGGGTCAGATCTCAGGGAGCCTGTGCCTGGGAACCTGCTGAGGTCAGAGGACAGGCAGTGGGGACCACGGGATGCAGGAGGAGGAGAGATGCGGGCGGTGGGGGGGGGGGCAGCCCGGAGCAGGGACAGAATTTCCACACTCACTGTCTCTGTGCCAGGCACGGTCCTCACCATTCAACAGCTTCCGTCTCACTTAACTCACAGATCCCGGAGAGGAGGGGCATTGTTACCCCCCATCTTTCAGATGAGCAGACAGGTTCAGGAGACGAAGGGACTCGCGGGGATCGCTCAGCTAGTAAGGGGCAGAGCTAGGCTTTGGCCCTGAGTGTAGGGCTCCTGCGTGCATGCTCAGCTGCTCAGTTGTGTCCCACTCGGCAACCGCATGGACTGTAGCCCTCCAGACTCCTCTGTCCATGGATTCTCCAGGCAAGAATACTGGAGTGGGTTGCCATGCCTTCCTCCAGGGGATCTTTCCAACCCAGGGATCAAACCTGAGTCTCTTATGTCTCCTGCATTGGCAGGCAGGTTCTTCACCACTGGACCACCAGGGAAGTTCCTTTCAGGCGCCTAAATCCGTGCTTTTAACATGACCACACACCCTCCTGCCCACGTAGAATTCAGCGGAAGCCTTCAGAGAAATCTCCAAAGTCTGCAGGGTGTTGAGGAGTCCAGGGTAGACTAAGCTTTGCCCAAATGCTGTTTCCACATCTAGGGCTGGGGCTGGCCTCCCGGACCCCAGCAGGACCCCGGTGGAGCCTTCTAGGCCTTGGAGGGGGGCCCAGGTGTTCCCTGAGACCGCTGGACTGGGGTGGGGGCTGCTGCTGTCTGCTCCCACGGGAGATGAGTGCCCTGAGGCAGATGCCAAGGCACTGATGGGCAGCTCAAGACTCTGAGGCCAGACCAGTGTCCCAGGCTAGACCCAGGGCTTCAGGGCCGCGGGTGTCCTCAGAGCCTAGCTCTCCCTGTCTTCTCTCTGCCCCCTCTCCTGAGACAGCCCAGCCTTCGGGGGCTGCCGCCATGCCTGCGGGCATCTCAGCCTGCTCCTACACTGTGTCTCGCTCTCCAGGGGTCCCAGCTGCCCCCTGGATGCAGCCTCCCCAAGAACATTCCAGGTCCCCTCGAGCTCATCTCAGCCTGCACTGCACTTCATGCCCTTGCTCCCGGGCCACATGCACACAATACCCCCTGCTGCTCCCCACCCCTGCCCCACCCAGCCAGTACCCACACCAGAAACCTGGGAGTCGCCGCTGACCTGTCCTGTCACACGAGCACTGCATCTGCTCAGTCACCCAGTTGGGCGGTGATTTCTTCTCTCAGGTCCCTCATGCCCCTCTCAGACTTTCCTGCATCTACCTTAATAGGGACCCAAGCCCCTTGCCCCACCTGTCTCCTCTTGATGGGCCCTGCCTCTGTCCTCCACCCTCCCAGCCTTTCTTCGCAGTCCCTCCACAACCAATACCCTCCACTGGCTTCCTACAGCCTTGGGGGACACCCCGCCCCCCACTCAGCTCGGGTCCCCAGGGAACCATCTCTCTCCCCAGGCATGACCTTCTCTTGTCCTCATGTCCAGCCCTGTGGACTTGGCTCCCTGCTCCCACCGGGCAGTTTCTCCCTTCTCTGCCTTTGGTGCCCTTCAGCCTAGCATCCTGCTCCTGGCTAGGCTGGTCAAACCCTCTGCTGGTTCTTGAAGTTACATGGAGGTGGAAGGCCCCTTCCTCCAGGAAGCCCTCCTTCCCTGAGCCTTGTTGGCCCAGGTGCAGGCTCCACCTTGATGCGGCAGGTGCAGGGCACTCAGTGCACCCACGTGTAATGAGTCATTACTGGCTGTTACCGGAATCTTCTGACTTTGGATAAACTAGTTCTGCTAGAGGCACTGGAGTGTGTGTGTGTGTCTGGGGAAGGTTGGTGGAGGCAGGTCAGATATCGAGGCTCAGCAACCCTGGACGGTCATGGGCAACCTCAGCAGGGGAAGGGGCTGGGAAGGAGGTGGTCAGAGGGACGGCAGCGGGCAGCCTGGACTGGGTAGCGGGGTGGGGGTGGTGTGGGATGGGAAGCCATGGAGGACTCCTGGGGTACATCTGTGAGGTGCCCTCTAGGCCAGGACAACCCGGGCAGTCAGTGAGGGCGTGGTCTCTCCCCAGAGGTCCTGTCCAGTCGCATGGAGGGCATGATGGCCTCCTACACACCGCTGGCCCCGCCGCAGCAGCAGATCGTGGCCATGGAGCAGAGCCCCTATGGCAGCAGCGACCCCTTCCAGCAGGGCCTCACGCCGCCCCAAATGCCAGGTGACCACATGAACCCCTATGGTAAGCTGCCCCACCCCTCACGGCCCAGCACGGCCCCTGCCCCCACAGCCTGACCTGGCAGGCCCTTCCAACACAGCCCACTTGCCTCCTCCTGTCGGGAAGGGGGCACCCTGGAAACACCCGAACCACCCACCCACAGCCCCCGAACACCCCCCGCCAGCCGGCAGTCATCCTGTCCCTCCCTCACCTCCAGCCACACGGCCTGTAGGGCCAGTGGGGCGCCCAGGAGTTCCCCGCCTGGACCCCCCGGTGCTGACGCCCACCCCCTCTGCCTACCCCCACCCCATCCCCAGGCAACGACTCCATCTTCCACGACATCGACAGCGATACCTCCTTAACCAGCCTCAGCGACTGCTTCCTCGGCTCCTCGGACGTGGGCTCCCTGCAGGCCCGCGTGGGGAACCCCATCGACAGGCTCTACTCCATGCAGAGTTCCTACTTCGCCTCCTGAGAGCCAGCCGGGCGGCACGGACGCTTGGGCAAGGGTCCTGGAGGGGGGGACTGCTGGCCGCAGACGCTGCCTCACCACCCCCAGCCCCACCGCCCGCACAGACTGCAGACAGCCATACGGTGCCCTCCCCTCGGCCAACCAGGCCTGGCTAACGTGCCCACCAGGCGCAGCCAGACAGGCAGATGGGCGCAGCCTGGGCAGGGACTGTGTCCTGCCCCCAGAGACCGTGTCACCCCCAGGGACCCAGAACTCTCGGACAGCCACTCGCCTCCCAGCCGCACCTTGGCCTTCATCGCCTCCCTCCCCCTCCCCATCTCTTTTATGGGAAGCTTAAATTCTCTCTATTTTTTTAAACGTTCCCTCTGTGTCCAGGCCACCTCCATGGAGCAGGCCTAGGTCAAGGCAGCTCCCCGCCCCGTGCATGCCCCAGACAATGGCGTGAGAAGCCCATGTATCCTGTGCCCTGCACTGTGCCCACCTCCCCCCACCTCTGGGGGCAGGCCCACCAGCCTAGGATCACCCCTTCTACCTGGAGCCTGGGGCAGGAGTGGGGATGGGCCTGGCAGGTGGGCCAAGCCCACTACAGCTCTCCCCTGGGGAAGGGGGAGTCACAGGGGCACTGGGGGCGGGAAGGTTGAGCCCAGGCCGACTCAAAGGGATGGAGACATACATGCAGACGCACACGCTTCAAGGCACACCCATGCGGATGTGCACACGGGTAACTAGACACGCTGAGAGACGGAGAGGCCTCTGTGGCTCAGCCCTGCCACGTCAGGAAGGGGAAGGAGGCCGGCCAGGGGGCAGGGAGCCCCTCTGACAGCAATAGGAGGGGCAGGAGGAAGGGCAGAGGAGGTGAGGTCAGAGCACATGGATGCAGATATGTCTTCGCCTCCACCCAGATGGGGACTGCCTGGGCGGTCAGGGGCCCAGGACCAGGCGGAATCAGGCCACCTGGCAGAGCCTCCAGGTGGGAAGGCGTCTCAGAAGCCACCCCCTTGGCACTCCATCTGATGCTGGGCTCTCACCCAAACTGCTCCTGCCTCTCCTTGCACACCTCCAGTGACGAGGAGCTCACTACTTCATCAGGCCCCAAGTTCAGCTGCCTTTTCTGCTGATCTCACCTCTGTCCCTTTTCAGCCTTTGTCCTCGCTTCTCGAAGCCAGGCTTCCTTTTAAAAGCCCTCCCTTTTCCAGCTCTTCCTTTTAAAATTGTACCTCCCCAGCCCCCACCCCTACCCCCCGCCCCAGCCTGGCTTAGCTTCCCCTCTAAACGTGTAGAACAGACATAACCCAGTCTCCCCACTGTCATCAGCCAGCCTGGCTCTTCCAGGCTCTTCTTGTTCCACAAACTTCCACAGGGTCTCAGCCGACGTCCCGCGTCCTTCTGCAGCCTCAGCCGGCCCAGGTTCTGGGCCATCCTTGGTCCTGGGTCTCCACTGGTCCCGTAGGCAGCCACTCTGTCCTTTTGAGGTTTGGTCCCCTTTCTCCTCTTGGGCCCATATAGTCACGTCATGCTGGGGGCACTTGGAACAGGTCTGGGGTAGATGCTCCCTGCCCAGTAGACCTGGCCCTTCTCTCCCAGATTCTTTATGTTGAAAGGAACCTCAGGAATGGATCAACTAGTCTTCCCGTTATCCCGCAGCTGGGAAACGGGGCCAGGAGCGGGGCAGGGACAGGCCTCTCGGCTAGTCAAGAGCAGAGCTGGAGCAGAGAATAGGGACAGCACGCCAGCTGCTCGTGTCTGCCTGGTGAACAGCCTCCGGGTTGGGGGACATGCGTGACTCCTCTTAGTAGACTTGCCCCCACTGGGTCTGCAGAAACCCTAAGTCCAGCCTGGGCTCTGCCTCTGCCATGACACTGCCCCCTGCCAGGAGCTGGTACAGGCACGTGCTGATGACCCGCAGGTTGTCAAAGCCAGAGGGCCCTCAGCTCCCCGTGCCAGAGGCGCCGCATCAGCCGGTTTAGGTTAACTCCTTCGCTCTACTGCAGCCTGCGGCCCCCAGGCTCTGACAACCACTCTGCCCGACTCGGTGTCGGGACACAGATGAGCAAGATGTAGGGCCCCTTTTGAGGACTTCTCTCCTGGGAGGAGAGACATACACATTCTGTCCCAAGCTTTTCCAGACACTGTTGGGGACCCATTTCTCAGATGAGGAACCTGAGGCTCAGAGCAGGCTACCCAGCAGAAGCACACGGGACCAGTCAGGCTTGCTGGGGTTGAGGCAAGTTGAGATGACTGGGTTCTGTCCACTTCATGTAGGAAAGCACAGCCTTGACCTGGGGTGGGGGAGGTGAGTGGCCTTGACCACCCCCACCCCTGCCGTGATGTGGGACCACCATCACGTGGTGCCTGGGTGGGAAGCCCAGGGGAAGGGGGACGTGACAGACTGTTCTCCAGAGGAAGAGGGAGAAAGTGATGGGTAGGGGGGAGTGTCAGAGGAAAGCAGAGTTCTGCTTCCCTGTGGGGAAGCTGAGGCTCAGAGGGAGGAAGGAATCTGCCCCTGGTAACACGAGGAGTGTTATCACCTCCGCCATGGAGGCCTCCAGGGAGGCCACACAGAGGGACACTGGTTCTGAGGGTCAGGCCATGGGCCCAGCAGAGCCTATAGAAAAGGAGCCAGAGCTGGTGGGCTGGGCATCTCGGGAGGCTTCCTGGAGGCGGTGACGTGGGGAGTCCACCATGTCCAGATGAGCAGGCCCTAGCAGTGAGGCTCGGGGGAAGGAGAATTGGCTGACCTCTGCCTGGCCCTAGCCTGAGCTCTGGGCACCACCGGGGATGGGACTCACACCTCCCGTCTGGGAGAACCTGCAGCTCTGGGGCTCACTCTGCCCTGTGGGGAAGGGGGAGGTCCACACTCACAGATGCGCGCACACACACACACACACACAGCCAGACACACACGAAGGCTCACAGACCCACATTCACAGACACACCGCCTGGGGGCTGGGGAAGCAGGAGGGACCCTCGAAACTTTGGCCCTTGGACGGCGCCATTGCCAGCGGGCCTCTCTGCTGCGGCCGCCCCACCGGCGTCCCACAGGAACCCAGCCCAGCCAGGTGTGGGGACCGGGCTGCCGGCCATTCCTGTTCTCTTTGTACAGACTCTCACTATCCACCCGCCATCCCCAGACACATTTTATTTAATAACTTGTCATTGTTAAATTATTTATTAGCGTTTACCACATCACCACCCCCACCCTGCCCTCCACTCTCACCTTCTGCCTCTTCCCACGAAAGCAGAAAATGGAAACAACAGAAAAAGACGAGACATCAGTATATTTGTAAATAAACCAACCTGTACACGCCTGTGGTGACTCTCCTTGGGGGGAGGGGCTGTGCGGGGCCTGAGCCAGTCCCGCCTGAGACGTCAGCAGATTTCTCAGTGGGCGCCAGGGTCAGCAGGTCAGGAAGGGAGAGCCTGGGGTACCTGGTCTTGCCCAACACATTCCCTTGTTCCATCCTTTAATCGTCACCTCCTCATCCTTTTCCTATCCCAACCCCGACCCATCTCCATCCTTGAAACAAATGCCTCCCTCCCTTCTCAATCATCCCTTTCCCCAAGACACTCAACCAACCACTACAGCGGCCCCTTAAGTGCCAGCCACTAGGCTGAGAACTGGGGATTAGTCCCTGCCTCACGGAGGTAGACGATATGATGTGAGCTCAGCCTTGTTACAGGGGTACCCAACCTCATCTGGAAGGGTGGAGCATCATGGAAGGCTTCCTGGAAGAAACTGCATATTAAGCTGAGATGGGAAGTTAGCTGGTGTAGGGGGACCGGGTGAGGAGGAGGAGGAGTGTCTGCAAGTTCTTCAAGATTATGCAAACACCTCAGGTGCCGGCAGAATCTTGTGACTCTCCTAAACTGCAAGAATAGCTAAGTTTTGGAGCCTGGGGAGAAGAAATGAGGCCAGAGGCAAAGCCAGACCATCCAGGGTCTTGCTGCTGAGTGGAGAGTGGATCCAAGTAGGTCAGGTGGACTGAACAAAGATGGGAGTCAAGGGGTTACCTAGGTGACAGATGATGATGGTTCTGACTGGGTGGTAACAGGAGAAAGAACTAAGCAGATCCTGGAGATTCTGTCAGAGAGGAGAGTGAAGGCAACATCGAGGTTACTAGATCGCTGGGACAGGGGTCCCTGGAGCACTCTGATCTGGAGCACGGGGAGCTGAGGGTCTCTGGGGCATCCACAAGCTTCAAAGGGGCCACACCTGAGCATCCAGGTGTTCAACCACCAGGTAGATGGTCACTGAGGCACAAGGTGGGTGAGATCGCTCGAGGGACTGCAACAGGGAGAATGAAGCTGAAGCTAAATCCTGAGGAATCACGAGGGCACGGGGCTGCACATGGCCCTGGGATCCAGGGGAGATGTGGGTTAGGGTGGGGTCGGGTGGGGTGTGGAGATGGCAGAGACTCAAGGAATTTGGTTCTCAAAGTCCTTGAGGACTCGAGGTTCCCTAGAGTACCTTGGGGAAGACCAGCGTGTGCGCATGCACAAGCACGTGCCAATGCTGGCTCCGTGGGTCGGTTTGCCTGGGTAGGTTGTGCAGGAAGCTGGGTACCTGCAGATGATCAGTGTCTGGTGTGCAACTGGCTGTCTAGATCTGCCTACGGGGTCAGGAGTCTCAGACTTGTGTCTGTGCAGAGGTGAAGACATTTGCGCATCCACTCCTGGGTGTATCATTGTACATCTCTGCCTGGTTGTGCATCCAGGAGGCCCCGAGTCCGCAGACCTGAAGTCCTGATGTTTTCCTCCTTCCCCCACCATCTGGCTGCTCCTTCTCAGCCCCCTCCCCATTCCCGCAGCCAGGAGCACCTGGCAGCAACTGGAGCGTCTCTCTCTCTCTGCCCACGGGCACCAGCGCCCCCGGGGACGGCCACACCCCACCTTCTCCTGCAGCCTCGGGCGACCTGCAGCCCCACGGGCTTCTGGGCTTGTTCATTGCCTCCTCCAAGGTCCTATTTTCAGAAGGGAAACCCAAGGCTCAGAAGGAGGAGATGACCAGCTAGCTCAGTACGACAAAGCAAACGAGGGGCGGCGGAAATGGCTCAAAACCAGGTTTGGCTGCAAACCCATGGCCTGGACACCACCCCGGCTGCCTCCCCAGGCCCACACTCTGGCCCTGCAACCTAGTCCTCCAAGGTCAGATCCAGGGACCCAGGAAACTCTTCCCTTCTAAATGGCCGCATTGAGGCTCAGAGAAATCGAGTCACTTGGTCCAGACTGCAACAGCATGGAGGCAGGACTAACTTGGGTCTTCCATCCAAGTCCCAGGCCTGGGCTTCTGTGAGAGGCGCCTCCCAGCCACCCTCCCCCATCCCACCCCCCAGCAGTGAGCTGACAGCTCTCTTGCCGACAGCAATCGTTTAAAATCCTGTCACTAAAAAATGTTTGGGTGAGGGGTGGACAGGGGGCTGTGCTAATCCACTGCTCCCCTCTCCTGCCTGTCTTCTCCCCCCAGCCCAGAACATGAAGTCAGGTGAGAGGGAGGAAATGTAGGCCTGGTCTGGAGACAAGAGAGGGTGTGAGACAAGGTCTCTCTCCAGGCCCCTCTTTCCAGAAGACCGATACTAGCCAAGTCTGTGCCACTGCCAGTCATAGACTTCAGCCCACCGACCCTCACAATCCAGAACAGCTCTTATCCCATTGTACAGATGAGAAAACTGAGGTTTGGAGAGCAGTAACTTGCTCCAGGGTGATTCTTCCCAGGAACCTGGGGTTGGAGAGGGTCTAGAGTCGAGGAGAGGGGTGGTCCCAGGAGAGGAATGTGATTCTGAGCGCACCTTACAAAGCTGGTCCTCAAGGGTGTGAGGCCCGGCCGGGTCCTGTCTCTGGAGCTCACCACTGCCACCTTCCCTGAGAAAACTTCGGGTGTGAGGCCTGGACTGGAGTGGGTGAGGTCTGGGCAACAGCTTGGTAGAGTGCAAATCCACCAGGACAGGTGGGTAGTGAGACGCGTGGTCCAACAGGCATTAGGAGGATGGTCTGAAGGAGAGCGGCCGCAGCCCCCCACCAGGATGAGAGGGGCGCCCCCTGGGCTCGGCAATGCAGTTGGCCTGCCTGCCCGTGGCTGACCTATTAAAAGGTTCAATGGGCACTGAAGCAGAGAATTAGGTGACCGAGGGGCTCCACTCAATGCTCTGGGTGCAGCCATTGGGGGTGTTGGCCGTGCACCCCACACTGTGTTGAGCCTCACATGTCTTTCTCCTCGAAACCCCATGGGGCGGGAAAAATCGCCATGTCCACTTGACAGTGAAGTCTCTGCTCTCCGCAGTTCCTCTCACCCTGCTGGGCCAACGCTGCTCTCCTCAGATGCCCTCTTTGGCCTCTGAGTGTCCCAGACCCCATGCCAGGCAGACCTTGACCCTGGGCACTGATGGATGGACAGGGGGTTCTATGTATGGCTTTGACTGCAGGGCATCCCCTGCAGCTTGGAGACAGCCCCCAGACTGCTCATCCCTTTTGGTCTTCACCCTTTGCACAGCAGACCCTCCCAGGACCCATGCCCGTCTGGGAAGAAAATAAGAAGGAGCTCAGAGAGATGCACCAAAGCCTCAAAACTGGGGGAGGGGGGCTCACCAGCTGTGCCTGGGAAATCAGGGGAAGCCTCCTGGAGGAGGGAACAGCAGAACAAGTGCTCAGAGGTGGGAACCGCAGAGGGACCAGTGAGACGGGGCACACCCAGGGTCCTAAGGCCAGAGATGGCAGGAGGTGAGATGCCCTCGCTGGACATGCCAGGGGCAGTCAGGCCCTTGGCAGTGGGAGGATGCCTGACACATCCCACGCTCTTGATTTAGCTGAGAATAAAATGAGCAAACTTGAATAATGGAGAGGGTATATGGGGAGTACCTGTATCTGGCATGCGTGCTCAGTCACTTCAGTCATGTCTGACTCTTTTGTGACCCCATGGACTGTAGCCCGCCAGGCTCCTCTGTCCGTGGGATTTTCCAGGTAAGACTACTGGAGTGGGTTGCCATGCCCTCCTCCAGGGGATCTTCCTCTCTCAGGTATTGAACCCATGTCTCCTGCATTGCAGGCAGATTCTTTACCACTGAGCCACTGGAGTAGCCTATTTGTGGCCTAAAGAGGAATCATAAAAACGAAAAACCTCTGGACCCATTCCTTCGATAAAGAAGATATAACTTTCAATTCCTTGGAGACCATGATGTGCCCCACCATTGTTCCAGAAACCCCTATTGCTTCATTTGAAAACTCTTATCCCAGTCGAAGCCAAATCAACCATGGAATGAAGCTCAGGAAGTTCCTAGCACAGATTCTATTAACAGCAAGAAAGGGCAGGAGTCCCTCATGCAGATCTCCTGTCCGCACAGAATATCCAGGCGCCTTTCTATGGGCAGCACCCTGCTTTCATTCCTTAAGTCCCTTGGGGGTGTTTTGCTATTGAATACTAAACCCCCAAAACATACTAGAAGCTCATTTGAATTTTTCTTCTGAACCTGCAGTCATCCATCAGGCCACCAGGTGGCGACCGGGAGTCAGGCAGGTGAGAGCTGAAACATGGGTTAGGCTCCAGAGATGATGCAGGCTTCAGATCATGGCCAGAGAAGGCAGGAGGGAAGAAACTCTCCTTCTGGGACGTTTCTGCATGCCAAACCCCATTTGAGAGCTTTACATGGACGAGACCACGCATTCTTCAGCATTCCAATTTTATAGAACAAGAAAGTAGGCTCAGAGATGTTAAGGAACACTCCTGAGGCCAGCACAGCTCGGAAATGGCGGAACTGGGATTTGAACCAGAGCTGGGGCAGTGACAGAGACAAAGGAGGAGGAAAATGAGGGGACAGGGAGGGGGAAGGAGCAGCATCTTCTTGCTTCAGAGATTCCCAACCTTGTTTGTCTGACTCACACTCACCTCACACTCACCTGCGAGGCACCTGCTGGCACTACCCCCATTTTATTGATAAGGAAACGGAGGCTCAGCGAGCTGTGCATCCTCAGTGCCCTGGCTCCTGGGGAATCAGGCCTCCCTGAGCCCAGAGCGAGGAGCACAGGGGTGAGGGGAGGACTGCCAAGCACCCCACCGCCCCGCAGGGCCCCTTCCCCTGCACCCCTCCTTCAGGACCCAGGAAAGCCTCGTTTACAGGCACACGAAGGGGACCCCCTCGCCAGGGCAAGGTCCAGCTCCACCCTCAGTGTGCAGTGACTCTTGTGGAAGCTTCCAGAACATAGGATGCAGGTCACAATTGGGAGCCCCAGATGTGAGGGTCAGTATTTCATTCTGATTATTTCAGTCCCTGCGGTCTACCAATGAGGGGGCAACTGTTCTG